TATATTTCCTAAATTATATTTAACAGAGCAAGGAAATTGTTACAGTATGTCTGATAATATTTTCTGGAGAAAGTCTTATTTGTTTTATTTCGACTAGAATAAAAGTTTGTTTTTAATAATAATAATAAAAAAAAAATTTAGGGTCAAAATTATTAGCCCCTTTAAGCTATGTTTTTACAGAACAAACCATTGTTAATGGTTTGTTCTAATTATTGCCTAATTATTCTAGCCTGCCTATTTAACCTTATTAAGCCTTTAAATGTCACAATAAGCTGTATAGAAGTGTCTTGAAAAATATCTATTCAAATATTATTTACTGTCATCACGGCAAAGATAAAATAAATCAGTTATTAGAGATGAGTTTTCTAAACCAGTGTTTCTCAACTGGTGGGTCGCGGGAACATTTTCAGTGGGTCGCGGAGTGTGTGGTCAAAAAAAACAACAAAAAATGTAAAAAATTTTTGCTTATTGCTTATACCGGACTTTTATTTTAAAATTTGTGCGCGACAACCCTACCGTTTGTACGACCCCGAATATGTAAAGTATTGATTTACATATATTGACGACAAAAAATACTTAAAGCCTCGTGTCATATGTAGTGAGGTGCTCTCATAAGAGAGAAACCTTCTAAATTAAAATGACATTTAGAAACCAGACAACATGTTTTATTAACAGTTCAGTTTAGTTCATAGTAACTGAACTTTTACTTACCCTAACCACTGTTTACAGTATTTGTTGTTTTTACTTTATAATATTTCTATAATTTGATCCATTTTTTTAAATGACAGCAATAAAATATTGTTGATTTGTAAGTCTCTATGAATGTCTTATAAGTTAACTATAACTACTTGTGTATGTTAACAAATAAATACAAATTAATTGTAACTCCTAAAGTTGTATTATAGTTTCTAAAAATTTGGGTTGCGGCTTGATGACCATGTAAAAATGTGGGTCCCATGGCCAAACCAGTTGAGAACCCCTGATCTAAACTATTATGTTCAAAATTGTGTTGAAAAATCTTCTCTCCGTTAAACAGGAATAAACAAGGGGCTAATAATTCTGACTTCAACTGATTCAATTCAAGAGTTTACACTTAGAAGAAAGATTAATTATAAAGCTTTGATTATAGATTATAAAGCTGGTGCCGATTTGGATTAGTCAATTGGAAGGAAACCGGGGAACTCAGGGGAAACCCACGTGAGCACAGGGAGTACGTGTAAACTTCGCACAGAAACGTCGGCTGACTTGGTAAGGACTAGAACCAGTGACTTTCTTGGTGTGAAGAAACAGTGCTAACCACTGGGCCACCGTGCCACCCATCTATGAAAGGAGGAGGTGTAGGGGTGGAAGGGGGGATTCTTCAAAATGAAGATAGCTGTTATATTGAACTTAGGGTATTTATAGTGGCTTAGGAATCATCTGATTTGTGAATCATAAATTGAATAATGCTGGACCGGCCACAAGCAATAATCTACACATGATCCTCTTGAAATTAAATAAACTTCACTAATTAGTTTTGTAGGAAGTTTCTTCAATGCAAATAACATTCAGTTAATTACATCAAGCAGTTCCACAGAAAAGCTATTTTGACCATGCAATTGTTCTAAATTATAATATTTGAAATTTTGCATTAATATTATTAGTGTTTTTTTTTTTAAGACACACATGAACATTTTACTGAAAATAAACACTTCCTGACAAAAGTCTTGTCATCTATCCAAGTTTTGGAAACAACAAATAATGTCAAACAACTTGACTTCTAGTTGATCATTTGGTATGCAGAAGTAGCTTATTTAAAAGGCAAAGGCCTCTAGATTACCCTTATTTTACCAAAATCATATACCATGTCTTGAATTTTAATCATCTCTGCAATGTCTCAAATTAACTTATAAGTAGGTCATCTGGAATGGCAAAGAAAGCGATCTTGCAAGACTCCCAGAGTTCATCAAGATTCTTTGGATCTTACCTAAGACATGCTCAATAACGTTCATGTCTGGTGACTGGTATGGCCAATCCTGGAGCACCTTGGCCTTCTTTGCTTTCAGGAACTGTGAGGTGGTGGCTGAGAAGTATGAGAAGGAGCGCTATCCTGCTGAAGAATTTGCCCTCTCCTGTGGTTTGTAATGTAATGGGCTGCACAAATGTCTTGATCTTTCAGGCTGTTGATGTTGCCATCCACTCTGCAGATCTCTCACATGCCCCCATACTAAACCTAACCCCAAACCATGATTTTTACTTCACCAAACTTAACTGATATCTGTGAGAATTTAGGGTCCATGACGGTTCCAATAAATCTTTTGCAGTATTTTTGATGATTGGGATACAGTCCAAGAGATGATTCATGGGAAAAAATCTACCTTCTGCCACTTTCCAAATGATCAACTAGAAGTATTTTTTTTACAATTTTTTCTTACAACTGGGATTGACGACAAGACTTTTGTCAGGGAGTGTATGCATGTGACTGGCAAATTCAGTGGTTTCAATGACTGCACATTGCAAAACTAGAAAATGAAAGATGTATAGGGAAAATATTAAATACAGCTAAAACAAAATCTATCAAAACTCTGAACAGTAGAAATAAATTGTCTCCTTTAGGAAAGAAAACATGTTAGTTTGTTGTTAGTGTTTAGGTCATTGTTTTATGAGTGACAAAGTGTGTTTTTTGGATGAAGAAAACCCTTTCAGGGATCTAGAAGAATGAGTTGATTTCAGATGTATGAAGTGTTTTTGGTAGTTTTAGTGCATTTGGATGTGAAACTCTTTGCTATGCCAAGCTGAAAATTGGAGAAGTGTGTGTTAAGAAAAGTGACTTAAGTATTGAGAAATGAGTCCTGGTGAATGTCAAATACCTCTAACCAGAGTCTTGCATGACTTTTCGAAGCAATCAAAAGCCCTTATGACCTAAGATTTATAGTAATGCACTAAAACCACTCAAAACACTCTTAAAACAAAGGTTGCAAAGGTCTGTTTTTGAAAAAAGTTCAGTTCTAAAAAACTTTTCACTGCATAATTTTGAATATATTAATACTGTATAAACTATTTTAATAAAGCCCCTTTTTTCCATGATAAAACAAAAAACAAAACTTTTGTTCAATGGAAAAATTCTGCAGATATGAATCACAGATGTTTAGTTTCTCTGGTGTTTCGTTTCTCTGGTCCTTCTGTATTAGTTATTGATTATAAAATTCTGCTAAATTTGGCTAGAAACCTTAAAAACATTCAGCTGGATGTCTATGCATCATGTCATGTCAACTAGTTCTTACTGTCATTTTTCAGAAACGAAAGGATGCAGTGTACTCTATTAAACTCAACTGTTTATGCAGAGATTGATATTAATTCTTCCCAGAGATGGGTTGCGGCTAGAAGGAAATCCTCTGCGTGAAAAACGTGCTGGATTAGTTGGCGGTTCATTCCGCTTTGGCAACCCCGGATTAATAAAGGGACTAAGCTGACAAGAAAATAAATGGATGAATGACATTAATTCCTGCTGTGTTTTCTAATATGGGAACAGTTCAAAATACAACAATAAACAAAGCTCTGTAAGTCCCTTTTGCCAAGCATAATTAAAGTCAGCCTATATTCATCCACAACACCACTCAAAAGTAAACTAGGTTACTCTGATGGTTTAAATACTGCTCACTTACTCCATCTAACTCAAATCACTCGATTACTTCAGCTGAAAAGATTTACACATCTATTCTGTTTGTCACATTTTTGTTTTTTGACCAATGAAGTATGATTATTTTGCACGTGCATTTCAGAGTACATCATGCTGTGTGTGTGTTTGAGAGAGAGAGAGAGAGAGAGAGAGATAGAGAGATAGAGAGAGAGAGAAGGCATAGGGGCCCTATTATTCACCTGGCACAATAAGACACAAGATGTGCAATTTTCAGACTAACGCAAACTTATTTTTTTAGGTTTTATGGCTCGTTGTTTAAAAAGCCATCCATTATCGCCACTTTTTAGACACATGGACGTGCTGGTCTAAAATAGAGATGTGTTAAGGCACATTGTTGGTGCATTACTGTTTTGAAGAACTGAAATAGACTGCGCCATTGACTAACTGAAAGCTGGTCTAAAGTATAGCGCAGAGCACGTTAGCTGTGTGTCTATGCAGGTCCAAATGCTTACAAAGTGCTTTATACACACAGGATGTACAGTTATACACAAATATCGTTACATATGAAAATAATTAAAGGATTAAAATGTAAAAAAATATATATATCTGTTATTTTCTACATAAATATAAAAACCACTGCATCCATGCCTTCTTTATACTTTTTTCAGTTTATTCATGACAATTTGCATTTGTATAATGTTATTATTATACGTAGTAGCATTATTCATTATATGCATATTTATATTTGTTTTAATTAAAACAAATTTTTTTTTTTGTTTTATTAAAAAAAAAAAGTTTAGATTTGTTCATCTTTCAGGTTTTGGAGATGTATGCATCACCGTGTGGGGCATAAGAATATGACGTGTGTTTGTATATAACTTTGTTATTATTGTTCATTTATTCATTTGTTGTAAATTAGAACTAAATTTAGAAATAGTTTTGAAACAAATCTTCGTGCTTAACTAACAAAATTAAATATTTAGGCTAATGGATGTCTTTAGTGGAGTGCATACAACACTGTTTCTATATCTATGAAAGTAAAGGAGTAAAAAGTAAAAGTAAAGTAAAGAGACTGAATGGAGGATTCTTTATCCTTGTGCTGGAGATGGTCTGTTAAACGGTTTTCTCAAAACTGAGCTTTCTTTCTATGGGTAATTTCTGGAGTTATAAAAAACATATGAAATAATTTCTGGAGAATTGTTTAACTTACTGAAGCCACATACTTAATGTATTATGTAGATATTAGAGAACAGTTTAACTTATTGAATTAATGCACTCTAAAACCCATTTACAGCAACCAAATTCTTACTATCATTGCCTGCATGCTTGTAATATGCCAGCAGTTTACTTTTCTGCAAATATCGTTGACACAGTTACTGTACCTCTGATAACCACATGATTCTTAAATGTAAACCACTATCAAGTTTCTTTTTGGGGGAACAATATTGAGATTGGGGTGAGTTAGGGTGCGTTCACACCTGTGAATCGATTCATTTTTCCGAAACAGGGATTCAAATTGTTACAATGTGTATATTTGTTGTTGGTGTGGTTCGCTTTCACATGGCAAAATTTCTAAACAGACCAAAGAGCTAAAACAAGTCACGTGTGAGTTAACTCTCCTCACATTGGTCATAGTTTCATGGTTTATTTAGCAGAGTCCCGCTCAGTTATCATGCATCCTACTTTTAATTTAGGGCGATTGGCAATAAGACATTATAAGCGGAAAGCTGCGCTTTAATTTTGAATGTCGACACCCTCAGACATCATCACCAGATATAAATCAGAGGTAAGACTCTCATACAGAGCCCTTGGCTAGACTGCAGTTCGATCAATGTTCCTAACGGATAAACAGCTCTTGTTAATATTTCAGCATGCTTTCACTTTCGTATTTCACATCAAACGCACATTTACCGGTAGGAATGACATCCCGCCGTACTCATAATTCTCTTTTTATGGCCATATTTGCCTATTACATATCCATAATAAACTGTGATATAGCTGGGCTCACATCGTATTGCTTTCTCACCACAATCGATCCGCTCCAGAGTTCGTTTCAATCGAGCCGAGACCACCTCATTCAGGCGATCTCGGACCGATTGGTTTGGCGCGGATCCAAGCGCAATTGCTGGTTTCACATATGCCAAATGAACCATGCTAACTGGGCAAGCGAGACAGGTTCCGAAACAAAAGTCTAGGTGTGAAAGCACCCACAGCCTTATATCTTACCATTCCACATCCAAATTTTCAGTGGCAGCACAATCTAATAGGTAGCATATTCTGTAATCTTAATGTGCTAACAACCTTTTAAATAGGTAATAGGATAATCTGACAGGGTAGAACAAATTTACAGAACCCGGTTTCCCCCACAGCAGGACAAGTGGTTAAATGTCTGATGCATATGGCAAACTAACACTTTAGCAGATCCTTAGTCATCCTCTGATTGGTTTAAATATACAGGATTTTCAGGAGCTGAATGGGTTGAAATCTCAACCAACCTGCTTGGAAACAGGTTTAATCAAATAAAAAAGCGGTGATGTTTGTCTACATACATGTCTTACTGATTTTCTGACAGATCATTAAGGATTTTGACGCATCGTCATTGTAAACTCTTAAAGATGCTCATGAATGAATGACATAGTTGCTTGCTTGTCAGGCTGTTATTCTGTGGACATTTTCACATAAACATGATGAAACACAAAACGAAAGCTGATTGGTTTATTAACCTGTCAGTGAAATAGTATGATGGGTGTTCCTTGATTGGAAAAGTTAGAAAAGTTCTTTCAGCCATCAGTCTGAGGTCTGGCTACTGGAGACTAGGTGTTTCCCAGCACTGGGTGTTGTAGAGCAAAATATGTGCCAGAGTGATTGGCGGTTCATTCTGCAGTGGCGACCCCTGATAATAAGCTAAAGCACAGTGACTGTGTATGTTGTTCTGGTCACACTTTATTTTGATGGTCTGTTTGTTAAATTTAAGTTATGTTGCATCTACATGCCAACAAGTTCTCATTGGATTTAAAGTAGACTGTTAGGTTGAAATTAAGGTTAGGGTTAGTGTAAGTTGACATGTACTTGCAAAGTTTCTTATAGTCAGTTAAATGTCTGTTTAGCAGCAGTATCAACAGATATTAGGCAGACAGTCTACTAATACTCAAATGCACCATCAAAATAAAGTGTTACTGCTGTTCTTTTTGGAACCTTTACCTTAATTTTTAGGATTAATTTTTAGCAACATCCTGACAAGCCTGCTCAAAGACAGTAAAGTTTTCTGCAGTCTCCAGCAGTTGAGGGTCTCCATTGCAGCGAGGTCTTATCTGAGGTGGGGCCCACAGAGAGGGAAAGGAGCGCTCAGGGAGTCTCTGTTTTTCCCTGCACTCATCGAACGCTCATCTCTGCCAAGAACGTGACTCAGGAATGGAGCTCTGCTTCTGGCCTCACTGTAACCTCTAAAACAGGCAATTACACCAATATCATCTGAGCAGCACATAGTTGTAGTGTTGCTGATATTTTGCGATAACTGAGTGTCCCTTTGTTCTCAGTTTCTCAATATGTGCAGCATTTCATTTTTGCACAATAGTCTTTATTGTTTGTCTGGTTGAATGGTGTTGGGGTGGTTTGGTGGTATGATGACTGAGGTCGTTCAGCTTGATAAAGACAGAGGATATTTTCTATGCTCTTAGATAAATGTTATATTTTGTATGATGGATTTGAGATAAATAAGCAGGCAAACATGTATCTGAGTAAATTGTACATGTTTAAACGTTATGGTCATGACTTTGTTCGATAAATATACAGTTTAAAATAACTTTTGATCAAATAGTTATTAAAATATAAAATTAATATATTGTATAATTATATATTTCCCAGTGATGGGTTGCAGCTGGAAGGGCATCCGCTGCATAAAAATGTGCTGGATAAGTTGGCGGTTCGTTCCGCTGTGGCGACCCCAGATTAATAAAGGGACTAAGCTGAAACAGAATATGAATGAATGAATATTTATATAATTTATTTATTGACAGCCTACTTTTCAGTCTTCAGTGTCAAATGATCTTTCAGAAATCAGCGTAATATTTGATGTTTAAGAAAGATTTCTTATCATGATTGGTTTAATGAGTTGTGCTGCTTTATTTCATATTTTTGTGGAAAATGAGATGCATTTTTCATGATTCTAAGATGAACAGAAAATGACTCGCTCACTCTCTATCCTTCAGCTTAAAACATTTAAAATATGTTCAATATAATTTTAGACTCATTGCAGTATAAAAGTATTCATTCATTGCTCATTATTATTATATCCATCGTTACTGTTATATTTATTTTTAAACAGGCCCTAATATGGGTTTTTGAAAATGGCCTTCCATGCATTGTGTAACACACCACTAAGTAAACGAAAACATCCAGCTAACGTTTAAATCTGAAAGTGCACCATGTTTAAAACTATTAATCTTTTGTTTGAACTCGTCAACAGAGATACGGTACATCACCAAATATGAAATGCCAGTTCCAGTAAAACGTGAACACACCTTTCCATTCAGACACTAGCAGAGCACAGGAGACTGATCATGATGATGACGATGACGATGTCTGACACATGGAGAGTCAACTGCAGAGAACATACGGTTAAAGTAAAATTTTTTACAACAATAACACAGTATAGCTAGTGCTGTCTGTTCCTGTCGTTTTTCAGATTTTTGATACAATAACCTACACTGCAACACGGGATTCATTGGCCATTTGCTATTAAAAGAAGTAGCAGCTGAGACTATTATGTATGGGACTTTGTCAAACTTTGATAGGGACTTTGTCAGTAACTGTTACAGTTCATGTGGACCAGTTTCTACTTCCTCCGGATCGCAACATGTAAGTGTAATTAAAAATGTTGCCTCATTTTTTGTAGTTTGCAAAATATGTAATCAATTGTGTGTTGTAACTTGTAATCGATATACATGGCTTGTTATCACGTATCTATTACATATCAGTGCTTGTATTGTATCTCTCAGGTTAAATCTTTATGAGGCTGTTCACATATTGCGTCCAAAACCACATTGAAAACATGATGCTTGCTTCGTCCTTTGCCGATATTAATGCGTTTCTGAACTCACGATCCTCTGCCGTTTGTCTTTGCTATGACCACCATCAGCTGTTCCTACACACACACACACACCTACAAACTTCTGCCACTGTGTGGATTAATACTGAATGTGTGTTGTTGTTATTACTTAGGGTTAAGGTTAGGAGTAGAGTAATATACTGGTGTTTATCTGCATTGCTTTATTGCACTCCTTCATTGGGCTCTCACATACTCTCTGCTACTTCATAGCTACACTTGGCGTTTCTCTTTTTCTCGAGCTGAACTCAGTTGACCAATCACAACAGACTTGTTTATCAGACCCATCACCGCAGATTGACTCCATGCTAAAGAGGAGTATGGGAACAAGTGAATTGTTGAACAAATCATAAGAGTTTCATTGGGATAATTAAGTCAAAGTAAATGCATATTATAAGACCATTATAAGTGTTTTTTGACCTTGCATGCATATCAGCTTGCAGTTGGAGACTCCCAAAACCAAAATATGACCTTTTGTAATGCATAATATGGGCTCTTCAATTTCCATAATGTATAGTTCAGGATTAAACTGTCGTAACTGATATATGTAAGTGTATATTACTGTATGTGCTCATTTTGTCAAGTGACAGTTTGTATGTGTGTGTGTGAGTGAGTGAGTGTTTGGACAAGAGCCAAGGTCCGCTGATACTGACAGCTCTCTTTGAACACACCCACCAAAATAACAATAGAGATTAGCTTAACCTGAGCGCAGAAGAGGCCCAAAGCAAGGGCTTCAGCACATACAGTACAGGCCACACAGCATGAGGACAACCTGAGCACAATGTAGACCTCTGACCACACTGTCAAAAAACACTGAAAAGAAGATTAAGGAGTCACTGCTCTTTGTTCAACAGGTTAAAAATCGAAGCATTGTATTTCAGAAGCGCGTTTTTACAATATGGATGAAATTTGATACAAGTTCAGTTGAGTGATTCTAGCGCTGCCCTTATGGAAGAGGATTCTCACATTGTTCCAAACCTACTTGATGTTATTTCATATAGAAAATGTTCTTTTAATTTAAGGGCAGGGCGGCGAATCAATGCAATTGAGTAGGGGTGTCAAAATTAAATGTTTCTTCGGTGCACTGCGATGCAGATGCGGACAATTCGGTATTGGTTCAGTAATAGATCATAACCAGTTATTACATACTGACGTCTTTTATCTCATATACTCAGGCATGAGCGCTTGTTTGCAGAGCAAGTTTTCTTCTCCGCATCTGTTATGGATCAGCTGTGATCACCGCTGCCGTTTATCAGTGTTACTCTTTGGTAAACAGCACTAGAGCGTTAGAGCCAATCGCAACCCTTTCTGGGGATCATAAAGCAAGCAAGATATTTACATTTGTTTATTTGCTATAAACGATCATGTTGCTTTAAAGGATTAAATT